AGTTGCTTGGTCCCCCGATGGTGCACGTCTCGCTACAGGAAGTATGGATAAGTCTATTCGACTCTGGGACCCCGAAACTGGAAAAGCCGTTGGAAACCCCTGGACAGGACATTCAAAGTGGGTGACCAATATCTGCTGGGAGCCTTATCATCTCTGGAGAGACGGTACACCTCGGTTAGCGAGTGCAAGCAAAGATGCAACAGTCCGGATATGGGTTGTCAACACTGGAAAGACCGAGCATGTTCTATCCGGCCACAAGAGCAGTGTAAGTTGTGTGCGCTGGGGAGGTGAGGGTCTCGTATACAGCGCCAGTCACGACAAGACGGTGCGAGTATGGAATGCTGAGAAGGGAACTCTTGTGCACACCTTGTCGTCTCACGTCCACTGGGTGAACCATCTCGCGCTCTCAACGGATTTTGTTCTGAGGACTGGATTCTACGACCACACGCCTGTTCCTGATACCGAGGAGGGAAAGAGAAGCAAGGCCAAGGAGAGATTTGAGAAGGCTGCCAAGTTTCAGGGGAGAATCGCTGAGCGGGTGGTTACTGCTAGTGACGATTTCACTATGTATCTCTGGGATCCGGCGCAGAGCACAAAGCCCGTTGCACGTATGTTGGGACATCAGAAGCAAGTGAATCATGTCACTTTCTCCCCTGATGGATCTCTCATTGCCAGTGCAGGTTGGGATAACCACACCAAGATCTGGAGTGCAAGGTAAGCCACCCAAACTTGATTCACATTCGATGTACTAACGATCACAGGGACGGAAAATTCATCAACACCCTCCGCGGCCACGTAGCTCCCGTCTACCAATGCGCCTTCTCAGCAGACTCCCGCCTTCTCGTCACAGCATCAAAGGACACAACACTCAAGGTGTGGTCAATGGCCTCTCACAAACTCGCCGTGGATCTGCCCGGCCACCAGGACGAAGTGTACGCGGTGGATTGGGCGCCGGATGGAAAGAGGGTTGGCAGCGGTGGTAAAGACAAGGCCGTTCGGCTGTGGCGGAATTAGAATCCCGAAAATGGTGTTTGTTACTGTTACAAGTCAAGATACCCCTGAAGTGAGTGGTTCACAAGTTTGCTGTGCCGTGCATGTTTCACTGGATGAGTAGAAAACGTGCTTGGCTTATCTTTAGAATGAGATCTATAGGTGCGTACGTGGCGCTCAGCACGGGAGACTTCCGAATCTCACGCACTACTGTGAGTCTCGTTGCTTTTGTCAAGCAGGGCCTCGTAACAGATCATGCATGCACGGGAGTTGAAGAGAGCTTCTAGACTGTGATCCAAGATGCAGTCCCACCAGGAACTGGACACCCTCGATTGAGATGCGGCTTTTCAAGACAGTCAAGTTGATAGGTCCGCTTGTATGCAGATGGGCCTCTTTTCACCTGATGCTACTATAGTTCTGTTGGAAACACGTATGAAGACTAGATGTGCTGGTAATGAAGAGAGGGGTTGAAGTGAAGCTCGCGATATGTTAGAACTGTCTAGAAAGTGGTGTTGTTTCTGTGGGGTAAAGCGACCCATGCCCAAGCTAAAACTACATTATCCCGAATTCCCGAAGCAAAGTCCACAGCTAAACTTGGAAGCGAAATATCTAGAATTATCTTTGACGTTGGCTCTAACATCTCATCTCGATCACGTAGAAAGCCTCATACTGCACGTTTTCGAATCAGGCTTGGATGCCCAGCCCTCCCTGTCGGATCATATCGGACCCGGACCGGCGTTGCATATCCAAGTGATGATGTTTCCTTTTTTTCTCAAGTTAAGCACCTTGCAAACCTACAGCCTGCCATCGACACCACGAGGTTTCCCCGCTGATCGTGAGTGGATGATATGACCCCGGAAAGCATCGGGCAGCGAGCAGCCCAAAGAGATGCGGGGAGATCAGAAAATGGCTAACAGCAGTAGCCAAGTATATTGCTCACTCAGGTGATTTGAGTGTAGTGTAGTGTACTCATGAATGAGGGTGTTGCAAGCGCTTACACGCAGAAAGAAAAAAACGCAGTTGTCCGGTCCCGTTGCGGGCCCCCCGGTACTCCGGCCGGCTGTGGGCTCAGGTGGAAGCCGAATATCCCTGCTGCCGCATTGTGTGATGTTACGGGAATCCGGTGCTTGGAAAGTTGGAGAAGATGCGTGCATGTTACATGCACTGTAGACAATGATCATAGGTACATAGTGATTTCCATGTGACACGAGACGTTATTACCCCAATATCTGACTTATTCTTGTCCATTGCCCCGAGGCACAGTCTCGGGTTGGACTAAGAACTTGAGAGGCACAGGAATTATGGTGCTCCACCACGGGGGAGCTGCGGGGTGCAGCCAAGTTGAGAAGCAATATCAAGAATAGGAAAGGGTCCCCTGACGATCTTTAGAGAGAAAGTTTACTGTTTGTTAGTATCTACAGACCTTGAGTTGAGACTCGTTATTGAAGGGCGGAACACCCGGGCTTGGTTGGGATGGAACATGTCCGATGAAAACAAGCCATATCCTGCAAGTTGCACACGCATCCCATCTCAAATGCACGCCACCAACCGCATGCATCTCTCCAATCGCATGGCCCATGCGGGTTTTAATCTCAAGACTCTGAATATAATGCGGTAAATTCAGTCAATCTGATGCGAAGACGGGAAGTAGAAACGGCCCGTGTAGGACGGCGTGGTATGGCAGAGACGGGCCGGTGCAGCCAGTTTTTGGACAAGGGTGTAGGATGATGTTTTGAGTGAAGTGCATGAATGATTGAGGTGAGGCAGATGAAGAGATAGTCTGGGCTTGGCGTGGTTGGTGAGATGGTGGTTGTTTCAGGCGTAGTTCAGACGGTGATGGTTACCATGGATATCATGAATGCGTACATGTCAAGAATAGCCGGCGTTACGTAGAGGAAGAGCATGGTGCATGGATGAGAATTTCGACAGTGTCAGCTATGACCAGGCTATAAAACCTTTATAAAATACTCTCATAGATGAGCCTGCTCTATCTATATCAGTCTCTCTGAGCCCTGGTCACGATCATACTGTAATAGTCTGTGATTCAACTGCAAATACCTGAGTATAAGACAGTTACCAAACAAGCTATCATTTCATCAGGCATGCGAAGTGCATGATCGACGAAATACAAGAGGGCGTGTCGATTTGAGAGGCCGCCTAATGTTCCCAGCCATTGGGGCAACTGTACGGAGTACACCAACAGGTAACCTACAGGCCCGAGAGATTGGTTAACAGCCTCCCACCAACGCAGCATCACCACCACCAAACATCACCCGGAGGCATTTTCTCCATTCGTAGGCCAATGACACCTGGTTATTTCCATGTACATCTCCTTCCCCATTGAATCAACGCATCCAGGCACAGTCAATCAGCGTTTTTATTTGCATAGTCTCACCTTATGCATGCGGTTTCTTAGCCAAATGCCGAAATGACTCTCTATCAGATCAGATCAGCCAAACAGAAACATTACCGGACCTTGCTCTTGACTCTGTCTCATCATCCATACATCATCCTTGTTTTTTCTACCTCTAGACCCGCGTTTAGCCTACCCGCTCTGTAAGCTCCGCCTAAACAAAACAATGACAGGCTATCGTGGGGCCCTGAGAAAACTCCACACACGCTGTCTTGTTTCTTTGTGCATCGGTCCACGCTCCGATTTATCTTGACTTGTTTCGTTACTGGCGTTATTTTTCTGCCTCATCACAAGAAAAGTATTTAAAGCTCAGAGAGGAAAAGCTTCAGATTGGGTTGCTAGCTAGAGTACATGTAAAAAAAGAAAAGACCCGGTTTTTATACCGATTGATGCCCCTCTTGGTTCGGTTGTCTTACACCACCCCCCTCTCCTCAATTGGACGTGAATATTCCACCTTGTTCCAAGCTATCAGCTTTTAAACCTGACCTGAGCTTGGTTTTCTTCGTGGATCACGGACCAAACTCTCCTGTCTCGAGATCCTCAACAACTGATCCCGATTGCTTTCCTCGCAAACTACGTCACGGTTGATTCCTTTCTGTGCGTTGAATGTTTCCTATTTTTTGTTGAACCGCCTCTTTTGAGTCTCCCTTCTTGTTTCTGTCAACTGCAGTATTCTATCATAGCACACTTTGAATCGGCCCTTCATCACAGTACAGAATTATCCGATTCTTCTGTTCACATGGTGCTCATGCTATAATTCTCCACTTGAGCAGACGATTTTCTTTTTATTTATCAGGTACCAACGGTTCTCGCTTGAGGCTTAAAACACTGCCCTTGTCAACACCCATTCCAGCAGCCCAGAGGCTGTAAGCAATCATTACGTCAGAGTGAGCGCTCTACTTTACTGGCTGCATTTCCTCACATTCCCTGTCTTTCTATACACCCATTCATCCAATTCATCCAGACAACCGCACTCCAAGTCCAGACCATTTCGAAACTGACAGGGCTGTTTTATAGGTTGATCCTTAACTGGAAAATACCTCTCAAATAAAATTCTTCTATTAATTGCCGATCAGCCCCCTGGCGACAGAAAGAAAAAAAAAAAAGGAGCTGTTGAAGCAACGATCTCGGAGCTATCCAAGCTTGATCAACCGTGCAACAAGTATAACCACCTGACGAATCTCACGACACGGAGCAACAGCGGCCATATTGGACATTTTCTCGTCTAAATTACAGTTGGTCTTTTTGGTTTCAACTACCAACCTTGCAGAATTCCCATCTTTCTGCCGTGCGCATTCAACCATTTGCGGTGCTATTCGCCACTTTCGGCTCGATCTTACACCTGAGCGCATCTGCGACAAAGAGGCGTTTTGCCTGCGACAAGCTACATCCCTCAACAAAACTCGACTCCTCTGCCACTCGCATTTCCAGTTCTACATACACATGAAGTCGCCATACGAGATAATTCAATAACATCTCGATCAATCTTTGATTCTCGTTAACCTTTCACGTCCAACAAGACTCGAACTACGAGGACAAGAACTCTACACCAACAAATAAGCTTCTTGAGCAATTCTCACACAAAACATCAGCCAGAATGACGGTCTTTGTGTGTTCTCTGTATGTTGCCTCCCTCGATTTTTTTTTGTTGCTTCCCCGCTCTAGCCCCTCCATCGTTAAAAGCCCACCAAACCTTAGCGAAAAATGACGAGCTAACATGACGATAGCTTCCTCCCCAAGACAATTCACTTCACCCTCCCCGGCACACCTCCCCTCGGCGCCGATCCCACTCGAGCTTCATTGTCCGGTCCCTCAAACCCCAAGCCTACAAAAGCTGCTACTCTTCCTCCCAAGCCTAAACCCGCTGCTCCAACCGGTGGTCGACCTGCGCCTTTGGCTCGCCAACCGAGTCTGTTTCAGAAAGAGGATATAACACCTCCTCATACACCGACCGAAGAGACTGATTCCAACTTGTTCGCGAACGAAGATGGATTCAGAATACAATTTCCTCATGGCGCTAGCTCCAGCATTGAGCATGCAAAGACCTGGGGCAGCCGCGCCAACCAGCCCAAGTCTCGCGCCAGCTCTCCTCCTCCCTCCGCTTCCCTCTCCGAAAACAATCGAACAATGCAAAAGGCCCGTGAACTTGGTCGTCAGGGAGTCCTTCAACCGAGACTTCTAGTTAGGAGCGACAGCCACGATCGAGTCTTTGCCTCTGCTGGCTGGATGGTTGTCAATGCCGACCAGGGCAATGGTGGTCTTCGCAATGCTGCTGATGCCGCTGCTCGCGAAGGCAAGATTGACGATATTACCTGGGTGGGCACTCTCGGTATGCCCACTGATGCCCTCGAAGGCACACAGCAGAAAGAGGATATCGAGGCTGTTCTGGCGAACGAACACAACATGTTGACTGTCTTTTGTTCCGATAAGGACTTTGATGGTCATTATGCTCATTTCTGCAAGCACATCTTGTGGCCTGTCTTCCATTACCAGATCCCCGACAACCCCAAGAGCAAGGCCTACGAAGACCATTCGTGGAAATACTACGTCAACGTTAACCAGGCCTTTGCCGACCAGATTGTTAAGAACTGGAAGCGAGGTGACGTCATCTGGATTCATGATTATCATCTGCTTCTCGTTCCTGGAATGGTCCGCAAGAAGCTCCCTGAGGCCAAGATTGGCTTCTTCTTACACGTCGCTTTCCCTTCTTCTGAGGTCTTCCGATGCTTGGCTGTCAGAAAAGAGCTTCTAGAGGGTATGCTCGGTGCCAATCTTGTTGGCTTCCAAATTCACGAGTACGGACGCCATTTCCTCCAGACTTGCAGTCGTATCTTGAGTGCCGAGGCTACACCGGATGGCCTTCAGCTTGAAGATCGATTTATTGATGTCATTCACCTTGCCATTGGTATCGATCCTGTCAGTCTTCGTGAGCATCTTGACGCCCCAGATGTTGCAAAGTGGCTGCAGGTCCTCCAGGAGCGATACAAGGGCAAGAAGCTCATTGTTGCTCGTGACAAGCTTGACCACGTCCGTGGTGTTCGTCAGAAGCTTCTTTCCTACGAACTCTTCCTTAACAAGAACCCTGAGTGGCGCGAGAACGCTGTTCTCATCCAAGTCGCTCTTTCATCCAACGAAAAGAGTGATCTCGAGGCCACCGTTAGCGACATTGTGACCAGAGTCAACTCATCGTGGGCTAACCTGGCGTATCAGCCAGTGGTATATCTCAAGCAAGATATTGACTATGCTCAGTACCTTGCTCTCTTGACCATTGCCGATGCGCTCATGATTACCAGCCAACGTGAGGGTATGAACTTGACCTCCCACGAGTATCTTTTCTGCCAAGATGGAAAGCTTTTGCCAGAGAAGAAGCACGGTTCCCTGATCCTCTCCGAATTCACGGGAACTTCTTCCCTCTTTGCCAAGAATGAACTTGCTGTGAACCCTTGGGATTACCGACAGTGCGCCGATGCTATCAAGCAGGCTTTGGAAATGGGCGAGGAAGAGAAGGATAGACGATGGGAAAATCTGTACAAGCGTGTCAACAGCCACACCGGCTCTCATTGGTTCACCGAGTTCCTTGGTCGCCTGGATATCGTGTATGAGGAGCAACACAAGCGCGATCAGACATCTGTTCCTCGCTTGTCGATTCCCGCCCTTTCCAACAAATACCAGAACGCGAATCGTCGACTATTTATCGTTGATTATGAGGGTACCCTGGTAGCTTGGGGCCCTGTCAACCAGATCATTCCCATCAGCCCCCAGCGAACACTTGATGTATTGAACGACCTGCTTCTTGACGAGCGCAACACAGTCTACGTCATGTCTGGCCGACGACCTGAGGAGCTCGACAGAGTCTTCCGCCGAGTTCCCAACCTGGGCCTGATCGCTGAGAATGGATGCTTTCTCAAGGTCCATGGCAACGAAAAGTGGACTGAGATGGCTGATCTCGACCACGTCAAGGATTGGAAGGAGTCAGTGCGGCCTATCATGACATATTACCTCGAGCGTACTCCCGGTGCTGAGATCGAGGAGCGTCGCTGCAGTCTGATCTTCCACTACAAGAGTGCGGAGGACTATGAGTCCGCTTCACGACAGGCTTCAGATTGCGCCAGTCACGTCAATGATGCCTGCGAGTCTCAGCGCGTCCATGCTATCGCCCTGGACGGGTGCATCGCCGTTGAGCCCATAGATTGGACCAAGCGAACCGCTGCCAGGAAGGTGTTTGAGACTCTGAAGACGGAGATGAGCTCTACGCAGGAGCACAAGACGCCCGTTGACTTTTTGATGGTCATCGGTGATGGACGAGAGGATGAGAAGGTCTTTAAGTGGGCAAACAGACTCCAGGAAGACGGATCAGTACAGAACGTCGTCACTGTCAGTCTTGGTAACCGCAACACCGAAGCAACAGCCACCCTTACGCAGGGTGTCAGTGGTACGTCTCCCTTCCCGACAGATCCGTGTTGAGCAGTACCTTATACTAACTTACTTTCTGCAGGCGTCCTCTCTTGTCTCCAGCGCCTCGCTTCTCTCAGCTCATCCTGACTACAGGTTTATTGTGGAATTATTGCGTGTTATTGCATTTGTCTTTGTGCCGTTGGCGTTGGGTCAGCGGGCGCAGGGGAACTAAAACGATCGTCACGTCCAGCAACTCGACGACACCAAAAGAGTAGTTCTATATGATTTTCGTTTTTATAGTTGTTTCGTTAGAGTCGTTATGATGGGCATGGGCTACAATGAGGAATGGTTTCATTATTAGGGACTCTCGCGAGTAAATGGTTTCTTACACACTCTACTCTCAGTCGTCTTTCTCTCAACGGATGGAGGCGAGTCTGCTATTATACAGGCCACGATATAGAAAATGAATAGAAGGATATAACCTCATCCGTCCCAATTGCTATACGCCTTGCGCCGTTTCCGACATCCAAAGCCTTTGACTTTTAACAAACGTTAATTCCCGTTCCAACGTTTTCCGTTTCCCGCCCACGTATGAAATGACATCACACCGGTGAATTCCAGCAGCTCAGCAACGAATGATGCGCCCTGAAAACAGCCAAAAATAAACTGCCGCAGAGGCACCCCGCGCCTTGCGACATCGGCCCAGATAATTCTTATTGGGAGTCAGAGGAATTTAGTGTCGATGTGAAAGCATCTTCTGGTTCTTACTACGACTTACTGAGAGCTTATAAATAAACGTAAGTGGGCTTGAGCTCAGGTTATAAAAGAGGCTGAATTGTACGTACGTTGACTGTTGTAGTAGCTTCTGTGTATCGCAATCATGGCTGCTTTTCCTCCTCCGCCTGTTAATACCATTGACTGGTCCAACGTGGGCTTCAAGGTCCGCGAAGGTTAGCTCCCTGCCCAATTGATTACTCTTAGAGCTGTTTTGTTGACAATTGCAGTCAATGGTCATATCGAATCTACCTACAGTCGAAGCACAGGAAAATGGACTCCTCTTCACTTCGTCGCCGATCCCTTCATGCGCATCCATGGCATGGCGCCAGCTCTCAACTACGGCCAACAAGCCTACGAAGGTCTCAAGGCCTTCCGAACCCCCAATGACGAAGCAATCACCATCTTCCGACCCAACCGTAACGCTAAGCGTCTTCAGCACTCTGCGGAAGTCGTGTCAATGCCCCACGTCCCCGAAGAGCTATTCCTCGACGCCGTGCGCGCTGCTGTCGCTTTGAACGCTGAATACGTTCCTCCTCACGACACTGGCGCTGCGCTGTATATTCGCCCGCAGCTGTATGGTTCAAGCGCTCAGCTTGGTCTCTCACCGCCGGATGAGTATATCTTTGCGGTGTTTGTCATTCCTACGGGTGTCTACCACGGCGCTCATCCAGTCAAAGCGCTTATTCTGGAGGACTTTGATCGCGCGGCGCCGAATGGCACGGGCAATGCAAAGGTTGGTGGCAACTACGCTCCTGTGCTGCGATGGAGCGATAAGGCGCGTGACGAGGGCTACGGTATCACGCTGCACCTGGACAGTGTGCGCCACGAAGAGATCGACGAGTTCAGCACGAGCGGCTTCATCGGCGTCAAGGACAACGGGGGACAGGTCACCCTCGCGGTGCCGGACTCCAAGTGCGTTATCGAGAGTGTCACGAGCGATAGCATCCAGGAGCTGGCGCGCAGCTACGGCTGGACCGTGGAGAAGAGGGCGATCAAGTATGAGGAGCTCAAGGAGTTTACAGAGGTTTTTGCAGCGGGCACTGCGGCGGCGCTGGTGCCGATTAGGAGCATTACGCGACGTGTTGGGGGTGGGGAGGATGTTGTCACGTATATCGAGGATGGGAGGGAAGAGCCTGGGCCGCTGTTTGAGAAGCTTCTAACACACCTGAAGGACATTCAGCTTGGGAGAGCGGAGGATTCATTTGGGTGGAGATATCCTGTTGGTGAGAAGGATAAGGAGATTGCCGGTGCGCCTGGGGGACGGAACGGCGATGCCACGACTGTTGACCAGATGGATTAGAGAGAGAGAGAGATAGCAGAGAGAAGCAATGGTTACCGTGTTAGTCGCACTCGCGATACTGACCCGTCTCGTCTATCTCGAGTTCCCAAGGACCGTGTTTGCACTTTGTCCCGCGACCCCCGTCGCTGGTTACGGCTCGCCGCATGGTACAACGGGAGTTGGACAAACAGACCACCCTTTGGGGTTTGCGGAGCCGGACGAGGTGTAACGGGCCCGGCAATTCTCATATATACAACCAGCCATCCATCCCATTCCAAAAACCTAAATGAAAATACCAAAATTGTACTGTTGAACGATCCATCCCCCCTTTAATCTCTCTCCACCGAAAACGCCAAACGAACCTCCTCAGAAATGTGCACATACTCGTTCCAACGCATGGTATGTTGCTGCGCCAAAGGTCCCGAGTGCCCGCAAATGACCCGCGGCCGCGCCATCATCGGCGGCGAGGCCTTCCACTACATCGACATGTTCTACGCGGTGGACGACCTGGGCTCGGCGTGCGACTACCAGCGACGGCTGTTTGGGCGGAACGCGGGCCCCACGATGCACTGTCCGAGATATGCCTTTGACGACAAGAGGATCATCAAGGGGAGCTTCAGGAAGAGCGAGCTGGCGTGCGTCAAGTGTGCTGAGACGTGTGCGCCGCCGAGCTGTAGTTGGCAGGCTCCTAGGGCGGAGGTGAAAGAGGAGGGGAAGTAGGGGACGGCCCCACACCGAGCAAGGCCGGAGAATACGGCGACGGAACATACGGAGAGGACGGAGGATGGTTTAGGATGAGATTTGTTGAGGGATGATGATATCAACGCTATTGAAAACTATTTAATGTCCATTTACACCATTTGACTTTCCGTTTGTTACCAAACTGCCATGAGCCCCAGAACCAAGCGCACCTTGGCGGGCAGCAGGAGTCTTGTTCTTATCCGCAATTCCATTGGCACTGCTACTCTTTCCAGAAGCCATACCGTTATGTGTACCGTTGAAGGACATATTCGCAATTCCATCGTATCCCTTGATGCCAGTTGACTTCTCCAATCTCTCCGCAATCTCAGGGTCAACCTCTCGGAAAATAGCAATCTGTCGCTTCAAAGGCTCTTCCTGCTTGCACAACTTCATCTTGCCTGTGACATTGTTGATGAAACGCTCACGAGCTGGCTCATCGAATACATTTCTCCAAAGTGCGCGAGGGGCGTTAAAGTCCTCTGGTCGGATTTCAGTGAGGAACGTGATAGCTTCCCCAGTGAAATGGCCATGGGTCTTGTCTAGATCCACAGCGCGGGACTTGAACTTGATAGGGTCAATGGAGGAGAGATAGTTCGGTCGTGCGCCCTGATTGTAGAATGCCATCTGGCCATCACGTTGGAAGTTGCCGAATTGATAACCTGTGCGTGTCGCGTTGACGGGAAGTTGCTGGTAGTTTACACCGAGACGATGGCGATGGGTGTCTGGGTAAGAGAACAGCCGGGATTGGAGAACGGGATCAGCCGATGGCTCAACGCCAGGAGGAAGATGAGAAGGATTGAAAGCAATCTGCTCAACTTCGGCAAAGTAGTTGATTGCGTTCTCATTTAGAGTGAATTCTCCGACCTTGCGACGGGGGAATTGCTTCTGAGGCCAGACGTGTGTAAGATCAAATACGTTGATCTTTTGCTTCTCCCACAACTCCTCGGCTTCTTTGGGAGTCATGGTCTGAACTTCAAGAGTCCACTTGGGATAGTTTCCATTCTGGATGGCCTCATACAAATCCTTCTGTGAGTTATCAGGTGAGTATTCGGCGGATTCCTCCTGGGTGACAAAATCAACACCCTGCATCGACTTCAGGTGGATTTGACAGTAAACCCATTCGCCAGCCTTATTGATGAGCTTGAAAGTATGTCCGCTGTAACCGTGCATTTGTCTGTAGTTTTTCGGAATCCCCCTATCACCCATGAGGATCATGACTTGGTGGATTGACTCGGGGTTTTGGGAGAGGTAGTCCCAGAACATGAATGAGTCGTCAGCATGGGTGAGATGAGTGCCTTGTTCGTTAGCCACGCGATCATATATGTCACTTAATTCTAAAAGAAACTTACTTGGGTCTCGCTTCTGAGTGTGAATAAAGTGAGGAAACTTGGCGGGATCTCTCAAGAAAAAAACAGGCGTGTTGTTGAAGACCATATCCCAGTTCTGCACAAATCAGCATCTCACCACAGCATTTCACTTAGATCACTTACACCCTCATCAGTCCTCATCTTGACCGAAAAACCCCTAGGATCTCTCGCCATATCATGCGATCCCGACTCACCACCCACCGTCGAAAACCTCATACTAACCGAACATTTCTTCCCCTTCTCAGACAGGATATCCGCCAGACACAAATCATCCAGCGGGTCCGTACACTCAAAGTACCCATGCGCACCACTTCCCTTTGCGTGGACAACACGCTCGGGTATACGCTCGCGGTCAAAGTGTGAGAGGAGATCTATCAGGTGGAAGTCCTGTAGGAGAAGAGGGCCATTTTCACCGGCTCGTTGGGTCTCGTAGGGGTGTGCGATGGGGACGCCGTTAGAAGTAGTGTAGAGGGTGTCTTTAGAAGTAGCTTGACGGTCTGATTCGTAGGATTGGAACTGGTTTGCTACGTGGGCTGCGAAGGAGGTGTCAGTTGCTGAAGGCGCCATTTTTACTGATTATCGTGAATTTTAAAGGATCTTAGACTCAAAACTTCATTGTGGTATTTCACGATGGGGGTCACTCTTATATACAAGCCACGATTTCCCCGGATAGTTCATCCCGTCATCCATCCAGCCTCCCATCGAGATCTGGTGTCAATTCATTGGTGAGGTTTGTCTATGACGCGGTGAACAAGGCTTGAGGGTCGAGGGATCGAAAAGTGTCGATTACCATTCAAATCACGATGATTGGCTTATCGGGATATTCACGATGCCCTGCTTTAAGATATGACATCACGACAGCCACGTCAACCATCGGCGATTTATACTGACATCTCGGGATGTGGACGGTAATAGGTGAGAGTTTATAGGGAGATAGGGAATAACGTGGGAAAACTGGGTGGAAGGACTTATTAAATATGTTTTATGGATATTTTATTTGTCAAGCATTTGCCAAGATAGATCTGAGATCTTAGGCTGATGGGTGGGTTGCATTTTGAGATCGTGATGGCATCAACATACCCTGTACCATTTGATGAGACTTCACATTTTGCCTTAAATCACGATGTTAAGTGAAATTATGCGAAATCATTGCGTTTTGAATTATTATTTTGACCCCACTCATGTTAGTCCGTCCGTAAATAACCACGTGTCGGTTAGTTGACTTACCTTTGACTTACCTGAATCCCCAAATCGACAGCCAGCGGTAAAGATTATCACCCAACCCAATCCGTAGGTTAGCAATCAAAGAGATTTGAGTAGAAGCTCATCATCAAGATGAGAAACATACTCACCCCTCTCAAAATACTTCAACTGCTCCTCCCACTGCGGAACACGATGTCCCAGCCCAAGAACATCCGTCATCAACCGCTTCCAAACATCCCTATCATCCCTCCCGTTAATACTGATAATCTCCTCAACACAACTCTTAAACTCCTCCGCATCACTCTGAGCAATAACAACAATCCTCGCCAGAATCTCAGTCCAGTTCCTCAAAAGCTCATGATCAAACGTCATCTGCGAGTATCGAAACTCCACAGTCGTAGGAGACCCTTCAAGATCCTCTTCACCACTTACCTTGTGATTCCGTAAAGACAAGGCGAAGCCGCAGCGGTTCACACGTGCCTTTTTGAGGCGCAGAGTTAGATCTGCGAGGATCGTGCTGCCCCATACGCCGTAGAGCATCTCGTAGATGTGCTTGGGATACCAGTTGTTCCACTTACCTGGTTTCATGGTGCTCATGCAGGGGACATGCTGGTTGAGTGCGGTGGGATCTTCGAGGGGCTTGTGAAGATCCATGTCCATTGCTAAAGATGAGTTTTCGCAGATTGGAAGGGAAAAAGCACTCTTCCATCGTGGAGGAGCGACGAGACGGAGAAGGAGGGTGGTCTCGAGAAGGATTATCAGAGTGGTGATCTTTTGGGCGAGAAGAATGGTCATACCTGTTTCAACACCAACGTGGACATGCATACCGCATGAATCATCAGCAGAGATTTCAAGACCCAGCTGCCGAAGGTTCGTCAGAGCAGTCTTCATAGTATCAAGTCCATTGTCCAACTCACCAGCGTGAAACACAGGCGTCGTTATCTCCACACCATCCCAGCCTCGTTGATGACTCAACGGATGAGCGAACTCCAGAAACTCACCCTTGAAAATAAAACAACGCTCCGAGACATCCTCTTCGTAAGACAATATCTCCGGGAACTGCAGCACACAGTCACCACTGAACTGGTTCTCCTTGGCAACTGTAGCGCAGATAGTGCATTTATCATCTGGAGGATGACAGCACTGTGCTGCGATGGGGAGGGAGGTTCGCTTTGCGAGGAGATCTGCCATGTTGAAGCGGGATGCTGCGGAGGGGGAGATGAAGCGCCACATGCGGTAGGAATCGGGGAGGGGGGTCATGAGTTCCAGCTCGACTCCGAAGGTGATGTTTTGAAAGGAAGGCATGCTTGCTATCAGGTATTGGGGGAGATACCTGAATGGCGCTGTGGTGAGGATGATGAGGGATGAGGTTGAGAGATGCATTTTTGACTTCCAATACATATTTATGAGAGAAGCTGCTTCTTTGACACTGGGGTATTCTGTTATTATGGCATTGTGTAGAACAATTCTTCTATGAACGATCACTGAGTTCACTTACAGGTTGTGCTGGTATGTGAGGCTCACTGTTCATACTAAAATGAGAGCCTCAAGCCAGACAAAGGATTGTATCTACGGATATGTTCCATCGGTAGGATACTATCTTCTAAAGAAGAACAAGGCAGTCATAGCCTCAATTGTGCTGAACAGAGGGGACACAATGGCTTTGATACGAGTATCTACTGGGCCAGAAATCATGCAGATTGTCTTTCACAATGCGAGCTTATCAACAACTTCACCAACTGTCTTCAAAATATTCATTTTACTAAATGAACAATCTAATACAAGAAATAATCTATAAATAGAATAATTAAGGATAAAAGTACTTTGTATCTTTCAATGTACTGATAATTATTCGGTAGATGCAACGTTGGCTGTGACAATATCTCTCGCTTCCCTGCTAACCTAATCTTTTGTTACGTTAGGTATGATCTTATCAGGTAACGTCATGATCTCAGTCTTATGCAGAAGAGAGGCACGTTCAAGAATACATCGCTCTATCCAATAAACACGAGGCTTATTAACCAGTAACGACGACGTCAGAACTACGAGCCTTTGGATTATATTTCGATGAGAATTGGCGGTAGTGAAATTATTGGTTAGACTCGATCTTCCCTCGAGAAGGACTCTCTATACCCAGCTGAGAACTAAATCCTCAAACTTTCTATACCATCAACTTCTCAATTTACACGCCCAACACTTTTCTACCAATTCGTCGCCCCCTCAATCGTTCACATCATGGGTGGAGGCCCAGTCGGCCCATCATCAAAGGCCATCCCCAACGCCCCTCTCACACTTCGTCGCGCGACCATAGATGACTTGGATGACATAACCTGGATAGCAGTAAACGGATCACCTGATGACCCAGGTACAGACTACAGATTTCCGTACCGTGATAAGTACCCAGGGGATTTCTGGAAGTGGACGAGAATAGAGCACGAGGAACTATTCCAACGACCTGATAAACTAGTCATCCTGGTAGTTACAGCACCAGTGCTTGATGACGGAAAAGTCATCCATCAGCCTATCTCTTACGGTGTATGGGACTTGAAAGTCACAAGCGACTTTATACCAGGAGGTTCGTATCATCCTTCATCTCAAACTCTCTAACAATTACAGATCATGGCATCAACGAACGTCGCGACTTAAACAAAAAACACATGGAAGCCTATGCCAAAGTCCTTCCAGCCGGTCTAAAGAAGTACTTTAAGAGATTCGGTTCAGAGCAAATTCCCTTATGGGAGGTTGTTACGCATCCTGACTTTCGCAGGAGGGGAGCAGCTAGTATGATATGTGAATGGGGACAGAAAGAAGCAGATAAAGATGGCAAGAGTTTAAGTTTGTTGGCTACTCCTATGGGAAAAGGGTTGTATTTAAAGTTGGGATATCATGTTCTTGGGAGTGTTGTTGTGCAGGTTGAGGGGGAGGAAGAGAGGGTTATTTTTGATGCTATGGTCAAGCACAACAAGTGAATTGAGGGGGATAGTGGTCAAGACGAGGGCTTGACATGGTATGTTGGTATGAATTCCATATCAGGAATACACAGGATCTGTTAAATCCTTCTAATGACACTTCAGCAGCTGCACCCGATCCTCTTAGTCACAGGTCTAAGACTTTGAATCAGGGGTCCAAAGCAAGCCGGCTAACAAGCCTATTGGGTTTAGTTAAAATTATCCTAAACCTGAAAATGTGATCTTATTACTTGAGGCCAAAGTCTAAAGTGTTTGGCCATTGGATCCAGCCTTTGCTACGCGCATTCTGCAATCCGCAGAGATCTTCTCGGTCAAACAAAGGTGCATTCTTACCCAGCACACCGGCTCAATGCAACGTCGAACAAGATTAGCAAAAAAGTAACTTCCAATCACTGAATACAATGTATGTGCTTCACATTACTGGAGCTCTTCCCCGGATCTGCATTGTGATCAACACCAGGGGCATCAGATCATGCACAATGGTGATACTCTTAGAGACAAATAAACTCACGACGAGTCATTCTCGAATAAAATCGCAAGAATCTGCTTATATTCACATGCTGACATGTCAGCTTTAACTACTTCCTACAGAGATCATCAACTCTGCATATCCTCGTCTTAACAGAGGGACCGAGCACGATGATCTTCGTCTCGTCCTCGCTAGTAAACAATAGTGTCAGAACCGGTTCCTGGGAAGCGGACAACCGTTCCGATCGTGAGCTAAATGGAATGAAGCTGAAACGAGGAGCGGAATGTAGATCTTTTAGGAGAGGGCGGACGACGCTAGGGGACAAGCCACGGATAACGGTAGACTAATAGGATGGGAGCATTCCCGGTAGACACTGTTTCCGGGGTCGGGGTCTTCAGGTGAGTGGTTTTGCAAAGTTCCCCTGAACAATGAGTTTGTAGTGGAAGCATTGTCGTCGATCATTGTGTTTTCACACCTACGTAGAATAATTGAACAATGAGAGAAGCGTCTTCGAGAATTTATCTGCACGTAACACCCGAGGCGTTGGCTCTTTGCTTTTTCCTCCTCCACGTGAAAATTTCTTCATGCACTTCATTTGACACGAGGCTGCACATCAATTTAGATGCTAAAATTGCGTGCAAGGTATCTTCAAGCCATGTTGTGTAAGAATCCTTGTAATGATCCTCGCAAAGGTCCCAGTGTGCCAAGAGCTGAAGATATCGCGGGGAAGTGGTCTGGGGTTGAGGTGGCTGAATCAAGTGCTCTGTATAGCTTCCTGTTTGGCGGTAGTGATCGGCAGAGGATTTTTAGCTTGGCTGAGGTCTGAGGTTCGACTTTGACGTGTTATCAGATTTGGAGGGAGAGATATAGAGAATGGTTCAGGTACTGGAGTGGTAAGCGAGATATCCTTTGCTACGCCCACTTACAGAGTTGATACTACCCAACTCTCCATTCCCATCATCACCAATGAAAAAGCTCAGTAAAGTTCTTCCAGAAATCTCAGCCAGATCATCTGGGATAAAACTCTCTCACCACTGCGACCACTCCATCATCACCCATTAATCCTCACTACCAATAACTCAGCAAGCCTCACACGGCATATTCCCCGCTAACCCCAGAATCCCCCATGATCTACAACAGTCCACTTAGCGCAAACCTTGTCTCTCTCCCAATCCCATGGATGGGAGATGGGATCAGCCCTGTCGAGTAACGAATTCGCACCAAGATCGGCACGGGACCTGACTCGCTCTTTTCGATTCCGATTCGTGAGAGTTTGGTTTGCGATGAGGCCTACCCGTGCTCAGACCGTTTTTGTTCCCATTTATATTACGTAGCGGTCAAAAAAGCTTGTAACCGTCTAATAATAAGACTAGAGGATCCTAAGACATGGTAAACTTGGATGATGCATGCTGAAAAGTCTTGTTTGTCTTCTTTTCTTTCTATATCTCCTCATGTCCTCCTCTCAGAATTAAACGGCCTACCATTCATTCCCTTGGAGAATAACCCACAGCCATGGCCGGCAATGGCTTTGGATCAGGCCTTGAAGGCATATCCCAGACCACAATAACCGTCGTTCTCGTCTTCCTCGCCATATCGCTCTACAACGTCATTGAGCTCAACTTCATTATCTTTGGAACCTTCAAGCGTCACTCCGGTCTGTACTTCTGGTCGTTCCTCATCTCAACATGGGGAATTGCGGTGTACTGCTGTGGTTTCTTCATCAAGTACTACGCCTCTTCAGCGCTGGGCTATCTAGCTTCGACGTTCATCTCAGTAGGATGGGTAGCCATGGTTTCGGGCCAGTCGCTCGTGCTATGGTCAAGACTACATCTTGTTCTGAGGAACAGATTCAGGCTAAAGGCTGTGCTGTACATGATTATTGTTAACGGCGTTCTCATGCATGGGACTGTTATTCCCATGATCTACGGTTCATTTTCACCGAATACAGATATGTGGAAGCAGCCATACTCCATCATGGAGAAGATCCAAGTCACCGTCTTCTTCATACAAGAGATCATCATCTCATGCTTCTACATCTACGAAACAGTCAAGATGATGCGTCTGGAACGCACAATGGGCAACAAGCGTGGAAGTCGTCGTCTGATGAACCATCTCGTCTACGTCAACATCCTCATCATTCTTCTCGACATCACCATCCTCGGCCTTGAGTACGCCAATCAGTACCAGTACCAAACATCCTACAAAGCCTTTGTCTACAGCACAAAACTCAAGCTCGAGTTCACTATTCTCAACCGTCTCGTCGAGATGACTACGGGTAACAAGGATGCTAGCTCGGGACCACGGAGTCATACGGCTGGTACGACGACAGGAAACAAGACGAACATCGCGCTTGATACATTCATCAGCAATAATGTTGACAAGCCACCTGGTGATATATCGTATAGAGCTTATGTCATGGGCGGTGATGAGCGACAGGCTCCTCGTCAAATACCCCGTGATGACGAAGTTGTCATGACTACAGAGGTCATCGTTCAACGGGAAGAGAGAGGAGAAGACGACGGTATGAGTATGGGCGGAAAGTCATCCGCCGAATCTACAATTGGGACGTCAAAGGGACATCATTACGAAAGTGAGGGATTATCGAAATCTTCATCAGAAATACATCTAGCGTCACGAGGCTTTTAATCAGGACAGGGCATCACGAATATTCAGCACAGTATTTCCTTCATATACGCATTATTATATATACCCGGTGTTACGAAACCACAACATTACATATTTTCTTTTACAACAAAGATACATACACATTCGTCAACATGATCTTCTGTGACTGTTTTCACTCTGGGAAGAATGAGTAATGGCGGCAACGTTCATTCCAAGCCACTTACCCGCTGCCGGGATTCGGCGTTGGAAGTTTGTGTCAGCCAAACTCTGATCGATTAACTTTGTACTTACTCACGGCATTTATCTCCGTGGAGGATTACGACCATGGGAATCTGAAGTTTGGCGGTGTCATGACTCTTTGACTGCGACGCTGTAGCTTTGGCTAGTCGGGGAATTTTGTAGAGGCTAGAGCATGTGTTTGCTACTTTATCTTAGAAGGCGGCCAAATTGATTATTACTGCTATGATTAGGGTCAGGCGTAAAGTGCCCTTTGTCTATTTGGTGGGTAATGTACTTGTTGTAATCTGCTGAGGCATTCAATGGGTCCTCAGTGATGATGTGCCGACTGTCGGGAATTTATTCACGATGGTGACATAAACTGGGCAGAGCTTCATTTCTGCAGGCCGCATCGACAGGTCCTACGAGCTACTGAGTTTCAACAGCAAAGATGCCAGAGATTTAGAGATGCTTCGACAGGACTTCACTTGCAGAGCTCAGTGGGCCATATACGTATAACACCGCAGAATTGGAATTGCCTCTTCTTGCCCTTTTAGAATACCTTTCCTTATGTAATTGCCTGGCAAGCCGAAGAGCCGGTATCGCGGTGATAGCTATAAGATTAATAGACCTCGACTTCTAATATAATGTCATTTGCTTGCGCCGCCTTTCCATTAGGTTTGCAATAAGCACAAACGAGGCGCCGAACATTTGCATGGTGCCAAGGATAACGATATGTTTACTTCCAAGAGGGACTGATCAGACTGAAGGGCCTGCGAGAACCACTGGTTATTCTGGGCACAGCCCACGGTTCTATAACGGCAGACAACCACGGAGGATCACGCTAGTTCGTCATCGGGATTCTTCCAAGAATAGCAATATAATACCGAGTGTTGGCAGTTCAAAGGGAATTGTCATTAAGCGAATTCTAGCAACTAAATTGAATGAATTCACAGTCGTTGATACCCCACGGATAGCTTCATAGCTATAATATACAGCCACGTCCATATCAATAGCGCCAAAATAGGGCTACACTGAAGCAATCCGGTCGCTCTTCGTAACCAGATACTACTGGAACATACCCTTCGCTGCACCGATAGCCCTTTCGCGTACTTCAGGCTTCAAGTTATCCATGACTGACGATCTCGGCACATAATCGGTCTGAAAGACCTCTGTAAAGGCCCGTCAGTAACTTATTGACTGATTCGAAAAGCTTTGAACAACCTACCACCCGTGATGCCATTGCTGTCGTGCTGCATGTGAAGAATGCGATCGGAGTCGGACCACGCGGTCAAATGAATGCGGAAGACCTACAAGGAAACTTTAGAACAGGTGCTTGAGCGAGGATGACGGTAGTAACTTACACTGAAATTGGGTCTGCCTGGCTCTGGGTAACGGATTCCAGCCACATCCAAGCTTTTCTCGGCATGTTCCTTGCCTTTGAAAATAGTAGAGAGATCCTTGGCAGTCACACCAGACTGCGCAACAACTTTGCCGAGGACACTGATATCGATATTAGTGGCTGCCATGATCTCCTCACCCACCAGGCGGCGGAACCAAGCAGCAACCTTTTTCATAATGTTAATTCCGGCCAATTTTGATAGAGCCTGGAGATATGCACTGACCTCCTGAACGATCTTATCGTCAGGCGAACCATCCGTCTTGAACTCGGAATCAGACTGTTTGATGAGGCTATCACTTTTAGAAATTCCGTTGCCATGTACCTGAACGAGAGGACTCTGCGAAAAGAGAGCCAGGATCTTTTCATAAGTCCTCTCAGAGATTGGAATACCGGCGATAGACTTAGTCATACCAGCGATCATGATTTGAACGTTTTCATCAAGTTTGCCAACGGTCTGCTCGTTCAGTTGTCCGAAGACAGGGCCGACGTCGACAATCACGTCATCAGAGTTTCCCTTTATAAACATTGGCATAATTCAAGACATGAGGGATAGTTGACAAGGACTTCGTACCTTCAGGTGCTCGTCGACCTGACTTGCGAGTGTCTTGATGGTTCCATCAGGGCCAGCAAAGGCTTGCTTGGCAAGTGAGGTGGATTCAATAGCCATTGTAGGAGTATTTGGGTATGAACGATATATTAAGACGATTGGTAGGAGAAATGGAGGATTACTGTTTGCTTCAATGAGAACTTTATGGTTTAATTTTTGGTAAAACTAAGTGCACAGCAGCCGGTTTTATAGAGAATGTAAGGTGAGTTTGCGGAGCCAGAATGGTTTGGGAACATTCTGGAGCAGAACGATGAGATACAAAGAACATCAGACGAAGCATCTACTGCTTAACCAAAACATCTACACGGTTCAGATCGCCCATTCCAGGCCCCCGTCGCTTCACCCGATCTTGCGTCTCGGCTAAGGTGTCCAGGGCTGAATCCGATTGGCCCCTAAGCGTCTAAGTCGATAGCGCACAGGGACAAATCAGCCTTTCAACGCCTCTATGTCAATTCAGCCAGCCTCAGGTTCCTACTATTAGAGAGAGAGAGTAGCCTGATGCGCCAGCCTCTGCACATCCCTTGCATATATCACACATGAAGTTCGAATTCAAAATTGGCTTGCTATAGAATGGAGAAGTCTAGTGTTACCTGTGACTCTGGTAGAACCTGGCAGTCTAAAAGATGAGGTGTTGTGCGAGTTGCCTACAACCGTCTCATGCCGTTTAGTGCTCTATCAGAACGGAACGACTGCTCGTTCGATGTTATAGATACTTCGAAGATCCAAGTACGGTTGACCGTGATTGGCTTGTATAGTGCATAGCAAAACTGCCTCTGTTGGAATCTAATAAATCATGTAGCGGTTTAACATGCCAGCCAGTCACATTTGACAAGACGCAAAAAGACGTATCGACTTGTCACAACGCCCCGTAGTCTAGAACAGCCATCGTATCAACCAGGCTTGACTTAAGTTACGTAGATACTGGAGCTCAGCCAGCCAGGGGCACTGAAAGATCCAGAATCAACGTTAATGAGCCTGACCTAAGCCCAGATAAGTATAGGCTTGGCATATATATTGGATTGAGATTCAGCTGCGAACGTCCTGAACCCTTCTGACCGCTCATATGGCATCATCTGGGTTCAATCCGTGCTGGACAAGTCATATATCCAGCCAGCCACTCTATTGCCACGGATATGCATGGTTACGAGCTGGCCATACGAAAACATCAAGGCTGGATAGAGCTTGAATACAGCCAGCCACTGCACAAATAAGACTCAGATTAGACATGAGCCGGTCATGTATCATACATCCAGGGCAGTGCTTTGCAGGTTTATGGTTCGATTTCTGCCAGCCATGCTATTGCCATGGATCTGCATGACTACGAGCCGGCCATTCGAACATATCAAGGCTCGATTACAACTGGATAAGGCTTGAATACAGCCAGCCACTGCACAAAAAAGACTCGGAATAGACGTGAGCCGGCCATTTATCATACATCCAGGGCAGTGCTTTGCAGGTTTATGGTCCGATTTCAGCCAGCCATGTCTGCTATGTGAGGATCCTCGAAGCCTCCCCAACACGGCCATTGTCAAACATTGACCGAGGACAAGTCTAGACCATCGATCAGCATCTGTGATGAGACATCATGGAGTCTTGAACGAACATGAGAACGCTAGCAGAAGCCACGCATGGTTGACTTGTTGCGAAAACACTGTATATGCCAGGAGTAGAGTGAGCTACTGAAAACTACATATAAATATATCACTATCCTCTCCCTTTGATCAGGTTTTCTATATTCTTATTCAAGGTTGAGTCAATCGACAAAAGTAACCTTGACTTTTCTACTCTACCAAGCCATTCTTGTTCTGTTATCAAGAACTCTTCAAGCAATCATCATGGTCAACGCACTTTTGGCAGCTGCCTTCCCCACCAAGGATGGCAAAGTTTTGCAGGCAGGCGATCTTGTGAAGAACTTCGACTTCAGTAAGGTATGTCTTTCTGCTCATAACACCCTTGATGCTTAGGTTGCCTTTATTTACAGCTCTTCACAGATGAACGTGAAAGAAGACACCAAGCAGGACTTTCTGAACTGCGCCCTTGCTCCTTCGTTCAAAAAGCTTTCATCTAATGAAATCCAAGCACTCGATGATGAGATGAAGATTATGATCACTGGCCTTACTAAGCAGCTCGGGAAGCTCTCCCCTAACGACCGCACCTGGGATGCCATTGTGTCTCTTTGCGCCCAGAGTCCTTTCCTCGCACCCTTGGATGACGGGATCGCAAGGACTGACAGTCTCGTCAAAAACTCGTCTAGCGCTTTCAAGACTGACGGCTCTCCTGACTCGGGCATTGTGAAAGAGGTATTCCGCGCAGCCTGATGATCGGTAACATGTGTGAAGCTAACGCAGAATGAATAGGTCACTGCTTGGTTTAAGAAACTAATCCAAGACGAGGATGTCCTTAACAGCACAAAGATTGATATTAATGTTCTCGGTCGAATCGTTGCTCAGTCTGGTGCAACTGTCGATTCTTTTGAGTCTTTCTTCCATAAGACTGAGGAGCATACAAAGACTGTCATTGATATTGGAGTTCTACGATATCCCGATATCGATAACCCATACTTCAAGGTACTAGATGATTCCATGTTCAATTTTCGAACTCTGCTGATGTAACCTTCCAGATCTACCGAATCAAGTTGACCGCCTGGTCAAAATCTACCCGTACACTCGCCTGGCAGGAGGATCGTAACGGCATTCAGGGAGGTAAGTTCAACTTACGAAAGGGAGCTTCGGGGGTTGTGCTAACATCATTACTTCAGAGTTCAATGTGAGGAAGTACAAGCCTCGATCTAGCGTGATTAACAACCTCACGGACGCAGCTAAGGCTGGAGCTACAAAGCAAGCAGCAGACATTCTTGGGGATTTGTAGGATGTGACGGGCTTGCCGGGTCTCGTAACTTGGTGTCTACACCAATTTAAGGAATGGCATAGCGGCAAAAGCTATAGCATTATATAGACACCAGACTTAAATTCACTTCTATGAGTACGTAACATTCAAAGCCTGGCCATTATTTAGTTGCTTGTTCAATAAAGATATCTTTGATATTGTCTTTAATTAACTACTATATAATACTTATTAGCTACTATAGATCTCTATAGGCCTTAAGAATAACTATAGTAATTATAAGACTTTAGTATAGAGACTTAGGTATATATATAGTAGTCCTTAAGCAGCTAAATACAATTAGCTTCAGAATATATTATCTAATTGAGATAATAGAACTATAATAAAGCGACGCTGAGTCGTGTTGTTTGAAAGCCTTATTGTCGTCAAGCCCTGCCACTCCTAGCCCCCTAGCCAATATCGCGATACGCATTCTCAAATGTCATCACGTCCACTACTAGCACCTAATCCCGCAGGAGACTACTCTAAACTTAGGAAAAGATTATGTAAAGTAATGAGAGATAACCTAAGTCTTACAGAAGTGTACTTGTTTTATTTAATACTTTCCTAAACTTATGATGACATTTAAAGAAGCCTAACAAGCATCAATTGAATATGCTAAAGTACTTGTACACATGCTTCAGCGTAAACGTGGCAAGTTTCTTGTGATGCTTGGGCTTGAAGCCCTCCGGTAGATCATCCATTTCCTCCTGTTGCATAGTCAGAGCCTCAGCAGCGAATCCCTCTGTCGCAATATCCATGTACTCCTCACGCTCTATTGCATCCTTGCCGAACCAAATGAAGCAACCGCCGTATTTGAGGAGAATGGTATTCAGAATAAGACGGCTTGTTCGGCTATTACCATCAAGAAACGGGTGAATGTTGACGAATTTATGGCAGTATTTGGCCGCTAGAGCCACAGAGTCGATCTCGCCACTTGCCTCTGATACTGCGATATCAGCCTTGAGAGAGGCTGTCAGATCTCGAACGGCTTTTGGGACTGTTGATTGATGAGGGAAAGAGTGAAAGCCTCGCTGATCTCAACATCGTCTGCGTCTATCCCTCCAGCAAAAATATCTCGGCAGAGCTTGCTTGTGATGTCAAGGCTGCTGCCGACCGCCTCGATCATATTTGAGCCATAGACCATCTGCGACAGTTTCTCGTTGAAGATATCAGCAATTTCGGAGTCATTCTTTGACTTCTTGAGAGCATCTGCGAAGTCGTCGAGATAGTTCTTCAAATCGATGTGGTCTTCGCCGGGTTGGCTCTCCTCTTCAGCATCGTCCTCGTAACGGGCATCATCTTGGGTAAGTTGCAATGTCGATTCCTTGCCCAGTGTTGAACGGATACCGATCGAACCGTTGCCACGGAGGCTCGATGACAGCATCAGACGAATCGAGTGTCCGAGATTAGATGACATGCTTGCCTTTGTGTTATTGGGGTCTGAATGTGGCTGGGGGATCTTGAGGGAGAGGAATAAGGTAACAGGGAAAGATTTGCCTTGACTTCACTTTCAAAGGTCCCCATGATAGGAAAGTGTAAGCCATTTAGAACTAAGAGATGTAAAGTTTATAGAGCAGGCAAGAGTAGTGTTTGGACAACTTAAAACTAGGGTTTTGTAGACTGTCCTTTAACATTAGCACCTATAAATTGCTAAAATGTTAGAAATGGTATAGGTAAGATGAGATAAACATTAGAAGAATTTACGGATCTTATCCTAAATTCATCATAACATCTACAAAGCCTTAATTAAATGTGCCATCACCTCATTGCCTCATCCTTAGGGAGTAGTGGCTGAATAATACTGCATTTTGCACGGAACTTTAGTTCAGAAAAATTATCCCATGTAAATATTTTGTATCCAGGTATACCCTACGTCAATCATAACTTTTAACTATCTCAAACATTTAAGCCATATCTATAGCCTTAATCTTATCCTTGGCCTTCTCATTCTCCATAGCCTGGTCCATGACCTGGTTGGGATCCTTGTCACCAACATCTAGAACCTCAAAGTGTCCAGTCTCAGTGGCATCGCCAGTCCGGTAACCACTGTGAGCACCAAAAACATACCACACGTAGCCAGTGATGCAAGCAGCAGCGATGAGGAATGCGAAGACAGTCCAGTTACCCATTGAGTACATGGGTGCTGTGCTGGATGGGAAGAGGAAAGGCGCTGTGATACCGCCCGTGTTGGAGATGGCGATCATTCCTCCTGTTGCGAGCGCAGTGGCAGTTGAGCCTCGGACGGTGGCAGTTCGGTGCTTTTGCATGTCAGTACATGTAACCAGTGATGAGGGAGAGTAAACCTACAGCAACGAAGGGAAGAACAGCAGCGTTCGTGCAAGCAATAATGCAAACAGCGAAATATCTCGCTCCCCAATGCTTAACCACAGCAAGGAGCAAATAACCCGTCGCAACAAACGCCAAACCACCCATGACATGCTTCGAGCGCTCCTTGGTCTTGTCACTATGCAGACAGTTGCCCACAATGATAAAGACAGCAAAGACATTAGGAGGGACAGTGAGGAGCTGAGCCTTGTAGCCCTTGAAGCCGAGCGATGAGACGATGGAGGGGGCGAAGTATCCGAAGGCGTTGAGGGAGTTGGCCATGAAGAAGTAGGCGACGGCGAAGAGCCAGAAGAAGGGGTCGGAGATGGTGTCCTTGGCGACTTTGCTGTCCCAGTGCTTGTCGTTCATGGAGGGGGCGTAGGGGCCGAGACGCTTGACGGCGAAGGCGCGTTCTTCAGGGGAGAGCCAAGAGACTGTTTGGGGGTCTATGCCTGTTAGTATCATGATATCGCATATCATAGCTTGGAGACTTACAGTCAGGGAGGAAGAACCACACCAAGACTCCGACGATGACAGCGGGAATACCCTCAAGCACAAAGAGCCTATCAATGTTAGATGGGTCATTGGAAGGGATTGCGACAGACTCACCATTGCCATCCGGCCAGACCAGCCTTTCCGTTGAGGAACGAGATACCCGTAGCAAGAATTCCGCCAAAAGCACCCGCAACAGCAACACTCGAAGCAAAGATGGCCATTCGAGTAGCTCTCTCCTCAGGCTTGTACCAAAAGCAAAGATACATCATGATACTAACCCTCATTAGCACATTCATTCACACCCAATCGCACTGTTTACGTACCCAGGGAAGAAACCAGCCTCAGCCAGTCCAAGCATGAATCTCACAGCCAACAATCCACCGTATGTCGAGACCGCAGCAGTGCAGATGGTGACAATGCCCCAAGACACCATAATTCGAGAAATCCATTTACTCGGCGAAAAGTACTTGAGGAGAATGTTACTGGGGAATTCCATGAGGACGTAGGGTACGAAGAATAGAGCGACGGCGATGTTGTATTTTTGGCCGGTGAGGTCGAGCTGTGAGACGATGTTGTGCTCTGGGGAGTCATTGTTGAGAGTTTTTGCGTTTCCGAGGTTGACACGATCGAGGTAGTCTTGAGTCTGTTAGTGATAAATGACTTGGTTGGGATATGGAAAACGTACTGAGGAGATACGTTATGCAAACCCAAGGCATGATTCGAAGATCTTGCTTCCTCACGATTCTCTTCTCCATCTCTTTGTCGTTGAGATCGACCGTCTCTAGAGCAGGGACGTCCAGAGACGGCTTTGGCGAGAGAAACTTGTCCCAGTTGAAGAACATGATGGGCAATAGTCAGCTAATTCTGAGGATCCAGTCTCAAACGACAAAAGAGGGAGAGCAACGCTTGTATTTAAATACTAGTCTACCTTATCTACGGCCGGATGATCTCTTACCATGATAGTGAACAATAAATTAACTTTATTAACTCCCAGCGATAACGGTACTTGGCCGTATCTACCCCAGATTTTCGCTTATAGAACACAGCGTTGCTATTGTACGATGGAATAGGAAGGGAGCGACACTGCAGAGAACAACAACTCCACTGTAGATAGGGCACCGGCCGCCGGCGAAGAGGGCCCCGGCGGGTATCATGATGCCGGTTTGGGAAATGCAGCCCGGGAATGGGGACGGGGAAAGGGTTTTTTTACGTATTTCGTTTCATTTTCTTTATTCATTCGGTGACAAGCCGAATGGGCCAAGCTTTCAAGATCGCGGGGAAGTTTGTTCACGGGACTTATAGCTTGCATTTCCTTTGCAATTGGGTCATGAGACTGTTTTATAACTGACCTGCTTGGATATACTGTTCTTGTGGTGTATACCTAGGTAGGTACAGAGGAGGTGAGATGGGATTTGGCGGAAATGCTGTTTTCTGATATCGATTCGGAGATGCCGAGCGGCCGATTTCGGGACGGGCGCCGGGCGATGGTGCGGGTTTTTTTTATTCTTGTCCCGTTCGATTATTCCACAATTTATAGTATGGTTTCGGTACTATATAGCGTGAGAGATAAGAATCTGAGATAAGACTTGACACTGGTTTCTGAATAATAGGCAATACGTTCTCGGCGCGCTTTAGACCGATGGTGATGGGTTCTAGTTGAGAGGCTAGAAGATTTCCTCCGGCATCACGGTGCCGATATATTTAAGACCAATGCGATTTACCAGTATCCAGAAAGTGCCTTGTGTCGTTATTGAGCTTGCAGTTCAACATGAGCTCTCTTCGGACCTTGGTATCATTGGGCACTCTGCATAATCCTGCTATCCCATCCCACCCTGCTTACGATTCGTATGTCAATGACTCGTTCCTCGCTGCAGCTCGTATCTCCCAAGAAACTCAATTGACGGGCTAGACAGGGAACAAGGACAGATGTGAGATTCCTCACTGATTGTGACTTTAACTCATCGGCCTATCATAGATCAACACCAGATAGATTTTCACTCTGAATATGGACGTCTGCATATGTGAAGACGGCGAACAAGGGTGCTTGTCGACGAACACCTCACAAAGTTGGGGGCGGATCTCACGCAGCGTTATTCACGGCCGAGATAATCACACAATGCTGCCTCTGAAGGAAAGCCAGATTTGGCTGATCAACAAAATGTTAAACCTCACGTCGAATAAAGCCCAGCAAAGAACCATGGTATTTCTTCAACATCGCCAACCACTCAACATACACAGTTAAACAGCATCTACATCGCCTAATCCCGCTCCTTCGACCCAACAGTTGATCTCGAACTCGAATTTCTCAAAACCTTCACCCCCTCAGGCCCAGAATCAGGTGTATGCGTCGCACTACTCTCCCTCGCCAAAGGCGACGGGAAATCCGGCGTAACAGACCTCGAATCTGTCCCCGGTCTCTTTGGCTTCGAGCTCGTCGAAAGCCTCTTGCGCCGCGCTGACATAGATCCGTTGCTGGGTCGTCTACTAACAGAAGCCTCTTCTTCAACGATAGGCGTAGGAGTTCGTGTTGAGCTTGTGGATGCGCGGCGCACACTGCTTCCGCGACGACGACGCTCGCGCTCAACGGCGATGTGACGCGGTGGTGTCTTCTCACGCTCATGGCGGCGCGGTTGTCGCCCGGGGAGCCACCATAGCCAGCCGTATTGTTGCTTGACGAGTTGGCTATCGCGCTCTTTGACTTTTTGCCGCAGCAGGGCTCGGCGCTCATTCTCCTTCTCCCAGTATTCCGTCCTGTATAGCTCCCAGTTCTCGCGGAACGTAGCAGAGAAGGGCTTTGCTAGGAGGAGGAGCTTGACGTAGTCGCCGCCAGGCGCTAGATCCTCCTCGTGACCGCCCTTCTCCTCATCTTCGTGGGGCAGTATCAGCGTCGGGTGTGTATCGCTCGTGATCTGGAGCTCCTTCTCCACCTCTCGCAAGAGACTCGGCTCGACGTATCGATATGATGAACTAGCCGTGTGTGAAAAGAGTCCGTACGTCAAGAAGAATCCAATTGTAGAGAGTGCTTCGGCCCACCACGTCCGTCGTATTATGATCAGCTTGCAGTTGAAGCCCCGTAGTCCTCTATTCGAAATAACAAACCATCGTCTTGGCCAGCGAATCCCACGCTCCCAGATCCCAGTCGCCCAGACGAGTATCGCAGTGATGATGCCGCCCATGAAGCAGACCTTCTCCGCACCCTCAACAGCCCAGTAGATAGAACCGCCTACACCACGGCCATCTTCACGAGGTGCGAGAAAGAGAGCATATCCAAAACCAGCGATCCACAGTGACAGCAGCGTGAGGAAGAAAGTATGGTGTCGCTTCCGAGCTCGTAGTTCGAGGAATTGCGCGCGCAGTGAAGCTTCGAGGATCAACAGGTTGAGATAGATCATAGACGGTGAACTCGGCGTGTGATGCAGCGGATCGCCTTGTTTGGCGGTGGTGGGGAGGATGGGGCTCGCGCCGGCTGCATCTTTGGCTCCTTGCGTAGGAGCTGAAGCGCCCTTGACGATGGAATCGACGTCGTCGGACATTTTTTGAGTTGGAGGCTGAGGGGCAGCCCGGGTCAAGGAGAGCTCGATGCCATGCAACTGGAAGAGGGATAGAGAATCGTCAGGTGGTCAGATAAGTACAAGGGAGAGAGCGGGAAGTCGAGCTGTGATTTGTTGAGCGAGCCAGTTGGGTTTTGTTGGTGTTTTTGGTGATCAACGTGGGCGAGTCGGGTGATTCTTTTGGTGCTTTGTTTTAGTTAGTTCCCTATTTTCCTGGGGCGAAGATGGTTCGGTTGCTTTGACCCGCTTCCATCGTCATCACAAGCCAAAAGAGAGGGATCTCGTAGGCTTGGCTTTGGCTCGGTAAATGGTTACTGCCGGAGCTCGGTTACCCTATACCATGCTTTAGGTTCAGCCAGGCACACATGCAGAATGTAACTAGAGGCTGATATATAATTAATTTATGCTATTGCGTATTGTTATACTTAATTAGCTTCTCCATCACGATATAGTAATGGCGTGATTCAAACGCATGCCTGAATATGCTGCTTATATCTTGACTTGTATATCTTTCCTTACCTATCGAAAGGATAGTCACTATATTATGACCATTAGCTGACTTTCTCTTATCTCACAAGTGACTATCAACCTATGGTCGATCCAGAGCAGTCACTCTTGACAGAGGGATTCATTCTATAGAAAATCCTCAATTCCAAGATGTTTTGTAAAGAGAAGGTTCTCACATGACCATCTAGTCATTGCAGCGAACCAAGAAGTGCAGTTTTGCACCTCGTCGGCTGAACGTGGATTAGGAGGAGCCTTTTCTTTCCTTGGGCTCGGGACTGCACTTGCGTCTACTAAGCCTCCACCGCAAGCTAACATTAGGCTCCTCATAACTGGGATCAAATGCATCCAAGAGCCTCCCATTACCTTCAGGCGTATCACTTTGAGGAATATAGGGCTCCTCAACACATCCCTCATCTTCACTAAATGGGTTCTCCCCGTCTTGATACATAAAACTGGTCACTTCCCGGCTAACATCCATCATCACAGCGCCATAAACCCGGCCAAAACTAACGTCAACGCGAACAACTATTTTGGGCTGGTTTTCTGAGTCCCGCCCGCGCCAGCCAAGTTTCTCCCGCATGTCGTGCACCAAGCTGTAATAGTCGCCACTATCGGGCATAAATATAAAGAAACTCAGCTCAACAGACTCCAGGGTTGGCGGTAAAGCTCCAAGAAATTCAATGACATCGTCCTTTTTAACGATAAATCGGCAAAGGCCGAAATGTCGAAGTTGATGCCAGTCGTTCACAGGGAAGATACTCTGCAAAGGAATAAAGTGGTCTCCTTCGTCTCTATCTTCATCAGGGTCGTCAGAGTCATAATAGAAGTCGTCCACATAAACAACATTAGTCAATAGATTAAAATTTTGAATATGCCTCGCCTTGGAAAGTGTGTTTCGCAAATGATTACTTCGAAAAGAGCACCAGTTCATGTTACACTGGTTGCCGCAGTGTAGGGAGAGGTTGAGGGCTGCGAACCCAGGATGACTTAGGATAGTGTTCAGGTCTTCGATCTCGCTGTTCTCAGCGTCATCAAAAACACGACAGCTGATCCCTGTCCGGAGATGATTGGTATCAATAGCCAAGTCGGCAAGTTTACTCTCCGGATTTTCTCGTAGGTGTTGGGCGATGATGCGACTGACAAGACAATAGCCTCGCCATTTATCCTTCTCCGATCTATCCCAATCCTTCGCTTCAGGAAAGTTGGAATGCATCCTTATAAGAGGCCACCCACGCTCAATAGGGTAAAGGAGACCGCGTGGGAGTGATCTGATAGTGGGCGTGAGATACCAGGGTAGCCCAGGCTTTCCATGAGCTGCAGGACTAACTACCACTCTTTTCAGATTAGGGAAACGTAGCAGCCCATACTTCAGCGCATCGGCGTCTCTGTTTGTGGCAATCGTCTCTTGCTGTTCTTGCCACAGTCTCTTGAAATGTCTGAATGCTTCTGCTGGGCTGAGTAGATGTTCAAAAGCTTCTTTAACTTGGCGATGGCGTGGCTTTGCCCGCTCGACCATGTTGCGATTCTCACGGTAGACGTGACAATACCATTCAGGAACTCCAGTGGTCTCGCCGATATCCCTTTCTTCGTCATACCACGAAGGCCACTCCATTTCATGGGCTGAATCAAAACGTGCATCGTCGTAGATGATCTCTGTGACCTGGAGCCGAAGTGTTTCGTGATCAGCAACAGCTCTGAAGACCTCTATATCGCGCAAGTTGGGCGAAAGGAAGAGGCGGTTAAGGCGAAGATGCCTGACATCCTTGAAATAAGTGCATGTTTGGCGCAGGTTTTTCAAGTCGCTGTTGTGCAGTTCGCATAATATTTGATTGAGAACTTCGGCTGGAAGACGCCCAAGAAGTCCAGACGATCCTCGGCCTTCATCATTGGCGGTCATTCTCTCAAGTCATTGACTGAGATGGCTGAGATAGTAAAGTCTCTGAAATCCAAACCAAGATAGAAGCAGCTTCTACCAATCACATGACACCAAGTACCGCCAATTGTAGTGGATTGCCCCAACACGTTGGGGAACCACAACGGGTACCGAGTACATCATAAACCGATATATTCCGTTTTTCCCTTGACAAGATATTCCATCACTATTACAGAGTTATTTACTATTAAATCTGTTCTCTTCTATATATCTACCTCACCTACTCAGCTCAGCCTCTTTTTATCGCTTACCCAAACAAGTAAACAATCGACTCAATTCCTCCGCAATCTTACTCTTCTTACTCTTGCGGACTTGTCCACGGACCGGAGCTTGTTTCAAACCCCGACATTTTCGTACCTTAACTCCGGCCTGTGCCTGTTGCGTCACGAAACGAGGCGTCATCCATAATTTCCAAAGTGTTTTTTTCCCAGTGTCACTACAGAGGTCGAGGTTAAATACATATTAACCTCGCCCTCCCCCCAGGCAAGGAATGCTTAGACTTCAACCTTCTTCTGCGGTACTTCCTATATCGCGACTTTTTTCAATCACCGCTTTTAATACTACTACACCTACACGCAGTATGAGTACCGACGGTACCGTTCGTCCGCCTCATGGTGGGAGAGTGGCCGATGCGCCGGAGGAGATTAAACATCAGGCCGAGTTGAAGCCTTCGCATGCGTTCTTGTTTCCGCTTGGATATAAAGATGCTGCTTATCAGTGGGTATGTGACCAGACATGATCGAGGAGTGAAAATTAACGATCTGTAGTGGACGAGCTTGGCACCTCAAGCCGTTGAGCGCAATTTGTTGAACCTCATGCCGCACCTTAAAGAGGCGAACGACAGTATTACAAACATCGATACTCCTGAACGACCTGACCCTTACGGTACACGAGTATGGCGACGAACAATGGTCCATCTTTCCGGAAAGAACCGAGCCTTGAACGAAGTAACCGTCGAGCGAGTCGGAGAAAAGGAGGAGGATGCTCTCGTCATGATCCACGGATACGGCGCTGGTCTCGGTTTCTTCTACAAGAACTTTGAGCCTATTTCTCGCATGAAGGGACTCAAGCTCTATGCGCTGGACATGCTGGGCTGCGGAAACTCGTCACGACCGGCTTTCAAGATCCACGCGAAGAAGAAGGAGGACCAAGTACTGGAAGCGGAGGGTTGGTTTGTCGATGCGCTAGAAGAATGGCGAAAGGCCAGAAAACTCGAACAGTTCACCCTCCTCGGCCATTCTCTTGGTGGTTACCTCGCAGTTTCATACGCCATCAAATATCCCGGCCGACTTAAAAAGCTCATCCTTGCTTCTCCGGTCGGTATTCCATCTGATCCCTACGCCGTCAACGCCTCTATGCCTGAACCGAACACATCAACGATCCAAAACGAAATCACACAAGATCAACAAAGTACGACCGACCAAAATGGTACTCTCAAAAAGCACAAGCCAGCTTCAAACGTCCTACGACGACCTTTGCCTGGCTGGTTCGTCTGGCTCTGGGATCAGAACATTTCTCCCTTCAGCATTGTCCGAATGAGCGGTCCTCTCGGTCCACGATTCGTCTCAGGCTGGAGTTTCCGTCGCTTCAATCATCTACCACCAGCTGAATCGCAAGCTCTCCACGATTACTCATTCTCAATCTTCAAGCAAAAGGGCAGTGGTGAATATGCTCTAGCCTACATCCTCGCACCTGGCGCATACGCTCGTCGCCCCGTTATCGACCGCATCCAAGAAGTCGGCCGTCAAACCATCACAAAACCCGACGGAACCACAGTCAAAGAAACCGGTATACCAGTGGTGTTCATGTACGGAGAAAACGACTGGATGGACGTCGCAGGCGGTCTAGCATCAGAAGAGAAACTTAAAGAAACGAGGCAAAAAGTCCTCGAAAACGCTACAGAAGATGAAAAGAAGCGAGAAAACGGCAGCGCAAAGGTCCTCCTCGTTCCCAAGGCCGGTCACCATCTCTACCTCGACAACCCTGAAGTCTTCAACGACATGATCCGCAAAGAACTCGAAGACACGCGAAAATCCGAGCAAAGAAAGCAATAGCCCCAAATTTTCACGTCTGGGTTTGGCTGGCATGAGTGATGACGAGGCATGAAGGAATTAGCACGTCGGCGCTGTTGGCACAAGCGGTATTTTCTGTGCGGTGCGGGATTTTAGATGGTTCACGACATACAGACATTGGAAAAAAGGCGTTTTTTTGTTACTGAGCTTTTTGTTATTGGATGAGCTTGCGTGTTAGACTTGCGTATACCTATTTTATCGCCTGCTTGGCATGGCGCCTTAAGAGTAGACTGTACAACATTGATATTCCATTTATTGTTACACTGGACTGCAGGTGTCTCATCACTGTGTGTTGAATACTTACCACGCTGTCACTTATATGAATGAGATGAGACATGGTCGACAACATTGGCATCATGTCTGGCTGAGGGTAAACTTAAGTATGGCGCTTGACTTGAACAGAACGAGTTTCACGTGCTCGTTGACTAGAATTCTTAATAGAAGTGACAATAACCTGTTATTGTACTTAG